ACTGCTATTTTGTGCTGATATGTGTTATATAGTGTCAATATGTGTTGTAACTGCCATTTTGTGCTGATATGTGTTATATAAATGAAGTATCAATATGTGTTGTGACTGCCATTTTGTGCTGATATGTTTTATATAGTGTCAATATGTGTTGTTACTGCCATTTTGTGCTGATATGTGTTATATAGTGTCAAAATGTGTTGTAACTGCTATTTTGTGCTGATATGTGTTATATAGTGTCAATATGTGTTGTGACTGCCATTTTGTGCTGATATGTGTTATATAGTGTCAATATGTGTTGTAACTGCCATTTTGTGCTGATATGTGTTATATAGTGTCAATATGTGTTGTAACTGCCATTTTGTAATGATATAACGTTTATGTGTTGCTGCTGTGGCACATTCTGTTTGTGTTCTTATATGTAAGAATGTTGTGTCTGTACAGTATACAATTGCTGTTGTAGTATATGACGTGGTATATACATTAAGTGTCAATATGTGTTGGTACTGTAGTGTATCACTTGTTTGTGTGGTGACACGTGGTATATACATTGTCAATATGTGCTGGTACTGTAGTGTATCACTTGTCTGTGTGGTGATACGTGGTATACACATTGTCAATATGTGTTGGTACTGTAGTGTATTACTTGTCTGTGTGGTGATACGTGGTATTACATTGAGTGTCAATATGTGTTAGTACTGTAGTGTATCACTTGTTTGTGTGGTGATACGTGGTATATACATTAAGTATCAATATGTGTTGGTACTGTAGTGTATCACTTGTTTGTGTGGTGATACGTGGTTTATACACTAAGTGTCAATATGCGTTGGTACTGTAGTGTATAACGTGTTTGTGTGGTGATACGTGGTATATACACTAAGTGTCAATATGTGTTGGTACTGTAGTGTATCACTTGTTTGTGTGGTGATACGTGGTATATACATTAAGTGTCAATATGTGTTGGTACTGTAGTGTATCACTTGTTTATATGGTGATACCTGGTATATACATTAAGTGTCAATATGTGTTGGTACTGTAGTGTATCACCTGTTTGTGTGGTGATACGTGGTATATACATTAAGTGTCAATATGTGTTGGTACTGTAGTGTATCACCTGTTTGTGTGTTGATACGTGGTATATACATTAAGTGTCAATATGTGTTGGTACTGTAGTGTATCACCTGTTTGTGTGTTGATACGTGGTATATACAAGTGTTAATATGTGTTGCTATAGTGATATCCTTAATTGTACCTGTTGATATCTGGGTATATCATGTTTTATATATGGTATATTATGTGTTTGTGTGTTAATATCTGGGTATTTCGTGATATGTGTGCTTATGTTGTGGTTTATTATGTGTTTGTGTGTTAATATCTGGGTATATCGTGATTATGTGTGCTGATGCTGTGGTTTATTATGTGTTTGTGTGTTAATATCTGGGTATATCGTGATTATGTGTGCTGATGCTGTGGTTTATTATGTGTTTGTGTGTTAATATCTGGGTATATCGTGATTATGTGTGCTGATGCTGTGGTTTATTATGTGTTTGTGTGTTAATATCTGGGTATATGTGTTATGTGTGTGTTAATATCTGGGTATATCGTGATTATGTGTGTGATGTGTTATTATGTATATCGTGATTATGTGTGCTGATGCTGTGGTTTATTATGTGTTTGTGTGTTAATATCTGGGTATATCGTGATTATGTGTGCTGATGCTGTGGTTTATTATGTGTTTGTGTGTTAATATCTGGGTATATCGTGATTATGTGTGCTGATGCTGTGGTTTATTATGTGTTTGTGTGTTAATATCTGGGTATATCGTGATTATGTGTGCTGATGCTGTGGTTTATTATGTGTTTGTGTGTTAATATCTGGGTATATCGTGATTATGTGTGCTGATGCTGTGGTTTATTATGTGTTTGTGTGTTAATATCTGGGTATATCGTGATTATGTGTGCTGATGCTGTGGTTTATTATGTGTTTGTGTGTTAATATCTGGGTATATCGTGATTATGTGTGCTGATGCTGTGGTTTATTTTGTGTTTGTGTGTTAATATCTGGGTATATCGTGATTATGTGTGCTGATGCTGTGGCATATTTTGTGTTTGTGTTTAATATCTGGGTATATCGTGATTATGTGTGCTGATGCTGTGACATATTTTGTGTTTGTGTGTTAATATCTGGGTATATCGTGATTATGTGTGCTGATGCTGTGGTTTATTATGTGTTTTTGTGTTAATATCTGGGTATATCGTGATTATGTGTGCTGATGCTGTGGTATAGTGTGTGTTTTTGTGTTAATATCTGGGTATATCGTGATTATGTGTGCTGATGCTGTGGCATATTATGTGTTTTAGTTTTGCAATTTGACATAAAGAGTTAATATGTGTTGCCGCTGTGGCATTTTGCTAATGTACTTATATGAGGGTATATGTGTCAATATGTGTGCCACTATGACGTTTTCAGTAGTTTTGCTTTAAAATGAGGGTATATAGTGTAGATATGTGTTGTCGTCTTGGCATAACTCGAGTGTGTAGGCCAAATAGTCAGTAGAATATTCCGTTGTACCATAATATTATGTATTTTGTTTGTTCAAAATAAAAGAATTACACCATTCGTGTGTTGTCGTTTTGGTCTGTTGCTGAAATATATAGCGTCATCCACACATCGTTAATCGGACATGTGTATTGTTTATCATTATTGTTGTCCGATTACTTCAAATGTGCGTGATTGATAGATTAGTAATGAGGTTAAAATAAGACTTGTCTGAACAACAAGTAATTAGTGGACAAACAACAAAGAATCAATGGGACGGTTATATTTCATACGTCTGATACAAAACAATGATATTGTTTGGATTTAAATACCGGTCAGTCAATAGATTTCCACCCTATGTAAAACAGTTATCTCAGCTTCTATATATAAATTACTCATATTTCTGAATTTCATATCATCTTATACAAATCATATATCAATGGAATTCGTAGAGAGCATGTTCAGTCATCTTAATAAGTAAATAAAAGATTTAGTATCATATATTAACTTTGATTTTAGCAATAAAAATATTGTTGTGCATTGTCACAATACTTTTTAATCATATGCATGCATAAAGATTTAAGAAAAGAAATCTGGACAATAAACAGAAAACAAAAAAGAAGTAAAAAAAAAGTCTCGAAAAGCAAAAAAGAAACAAATGGATTATAAATTTCAAAATATAAAATAATAAATGAAAAAGAACGAATTAGCTATTTTATAAGAAACAAGTTGATGATATATATATTGCATAACTTTTATTTAATGTATGTCGTGTTAAAATTTACGTTCAAATTCAAATTTAAATAGTGGCACGGTTCAAAAAAATACACATGGACTTGACGCTATTCTAAAATTATCTGATATATAAAAAAATAACGAAATTTATCGAATTATGGGGCTGTTGTACCTCCCCGTCTAGATTTTTGTCTTTTCTTTTGATCACTTTGAAGTTTTCCTCAGTCGCCTCTTAGGCTTCAAATATAATACCTTTAGTATCACTGACGAGTCCTAGAAGGACGAAACAGCTGTGTGATGTAGTATCACTGACGAGTCCTAGAAGGACGAAACAGCTGTGTAATGCAGTTTTCATTTTTGGCTCTACTTTATCTCATTCTAAACTATGAAAAGAAGCTTTTCACTTGTGTGTCTTTTATACAATCTTTTATAGTCCATGAAAGCATTCAGGTTTTACACATTTACAGGATAAATTTATATGCTACCTTTCTTATTGTAAAGATGTTTTCCTCGAATGTTCACTATACTTACTAGAATGTTTAATCTCATATTTTATAAAACCGTAACGATTCATGAATCTAATCATGCTTGTCAAAATTGATATCAAATATACATCTCAATTCTAATATTTCTAAGTTTAAAAGGTTAATAAAAAACACCGTACCTAATGCTCATAAGTTCCGAGCTTAAACAAAGCAGTGCTCGTCAGGCGCGCCAATGTTCGGTAATTTTGAAGCAACCCTACACCATCTGGAGTTAAAGACAATGGCAAATATTACAATGGGTTCGACTAGTGGCAGCTGTGTATTTCAACAGTGAGCAGTATACCTATATGAACTTTAAATAAACTTAGTATGATGGACGCCATCTTCCAAATCAGTCGAAAATATACCTGCACATCTAATTTTGAAATTATACGAATATTCTATTAACAACGATGGTAAAATATGAGTTAAAGAATTTAAATGGACGAAGAAACATGTAACAGTATACGATATCACCAGCATGAAGGTAAGACATTTACTTATTAATATGTTTACTTGTAGAAACTGGTCAATGGAGGTATGATAAAATGCACGTATCATCTTAACATGTCTTTAATAATTGTATCTGCCAATTTAGGATTATTTTAGACTTTATATGGATTAATACTTAAAATTTTTAATTTAGATAAATGTTCTTACAAGTTGATTGTTAGCAATATTATGAGCAGGTCTGATTAACAAGGATATTGAATAAATAAGCCGTGTATGAAAAAGCTTATTGTGATACTTCAAGCGAAGGCTGGTATTGGTGATCATTCTTCAAAACACAACTAATTGTTGAATTGTGTATCTGTGGAATCAGTAATCGTCAAACGACAGCATGGAGAAGCCCATTATACAAGTAAACCGTGATGGAACAAATCTAAAGCATCTTGACGCCATCTTTACATAAAACATACGAAATAAGTTTTAAACAGGATTAAAACACTTGCAGTAGGTTAATAAAAAACTAATTACATTTAATATGAAAGTGACATATGTATGTGCAGTTTGACAAACGCGTGAATGATTTGAGTAGATTTCCGCTTTACTATGACGTTATCATTGTTTGTTTCGACCCAATGTGAACTTTGTTTGCTTAAGACAATGACAATTTTGTCGGTTTCATTTTGTTTATTTCCATGGCATTGTAAACAATGTAAAAAGCACTTTTCCACCTGCAGTAGAAATAGAGAATCCAGTATGATGGCGATTGGGAGATTTTATGATGTCAACGAAGAAAAATCTGCCTTCTTGTGCGATATAAAGATAGACGTATTGACGTTTGTTGATATGCATAGCGGTTCCATTGTTGTTAACCTTGTTCTCAAGGTTTACATGGCGAGTGTCATCGATGGAAAAGAAGATGCTTACTATTCCGGAACACCTGGTCTTGTTTCTCATATTTCTTCCGGAGTCTCCGCGTAAATCCTTCTTTTTACACATATTGAGCTATTTTTATTGGTTTTGAGTTTGGATTATGATTACATCGACATGTTGGTATTGTCTTGTTGTTTTGAGAACACGGTAGTACATATTTGATCTGACCAAGGTTTACATTGCGAGTGTCGAGTGGAGCAGAAAACGCGTACACTTGCGGAACCTTGTTAATCCTGTACTTTTCCAGGAGTACTTTTTGCGGTAAACACATTTCAATATCGCTGTTACCTGACTTATAAGTATCTGCCCATGTGAAAAGGTAAAATTGATTTACTGATGGAATAAATTAAATGTTTTACTGAAGGGACAATTAATCATATTTTCGCATTTCAAAAGCAATGATTTGTTTTCCACAAAAAGTAAATATAGCTGTGTACCATAAAAAGAATTATATAACTCAATACAAATTTGTGGCAATTGTTTGTATACATAAACCATGCCACATCAAACGGTAAAAGGAGTTTTCAGGATATTTTTAATTGTATAGCACATTAGGAGACCAAGCTGATATTTGTTCTTTGGCAGGCGGTATGTTAAGATATACAAGACCCTCTTCATCTCACACGACGAAAATATATAATATTTTTTTTATCTTGGTGATAAATATTGCGTTAGTCAACGTATTCTCTTATATGGTGGAAAACATGCAATGTGTACTTTTTATCTTTTGATTTGAAATGAGATTTTCATTAATATAAAGTTAAACACTCAGAGTGTCGCACCTTCGGTGAAATGTCAATTTGCTGTATTTATTATAGTCATAAGGTGAACACTTGTCTGTTTTGAGATGTGTAAATTAGATACACGACAGACAATGTATACTTCATGGAATGCTCCCTATGTAATTCCTACAAACAATTTACGTGATACAGTTTAATAAGCATTCATTTTAACACTGGTAATACATAAACAGAGTTTGTATATAGTATTCAGAAATTCAGCTTTCTTTTAAAATGTTTTCTTCTCAAATTATGACAGTATTAAACACTTCACTATTCAAAGGGAGAGTACATATGCAGCTGTAAGTTTTGTAAAGGTTAACCTTAACTGATGGTGTGTGGTTACACAAAGCGTTATATAAAAGTAAAATATGTACGCTTTTTATAATTGCTTCATAATTTTATTCAGACTGATAAGAACACATCATTTGTTTCATTTTGATTGTACAAATATACATCACGCTGACATATGCTGATATCACGATGAGTTTGGTATTAGGCATTTCCTTTGATACTATTAAACAATTTAACCACAACTGTTATGTTAACGCCCACCTGAAAAGAACTTCTCTGTGAAGCAGTCTCCCACAAAGCCTAGGACATACACCTGCAAACCAGCTAACACGTTGTGACAACAAAATCCCCTCCCACGTTTCAGTCAAAACTTTGTGTAATTATCGGGATTATTGTACCTCCCTTCCTATATTACATATATGTAAACCGATCCTGAGTTTCCAGCTATAACTTAAGTGTATTTTTTTTCTATAATATGTATATCCCTTCTTACATTAATATGTATCGTGTAGCCGTGCTATCTAATTTATGCTCATGTACAAACCTTAAGCACTCTCCCCTCCTTCCCTTCTGAATAAGAAAATTGTCATTCTCTCTAACTGACAACAGACAACTACTTTCATCAGCAGCAATATACAGATTAACCTCCTTATTCTGATCTTGCTTACTATACATAAACCGCGGCATTCGACTGTACAAAAATAGACGTTTTGTTGTGCACGCACTGCCTATGCGAAGATATTTACTGTGTTAGATTCAGCTTGTTGTGTTCGTTTGCCAGATGAATTAATCATTTAAACAATTAATCGGTTTTTCCTATATTGTCATCTTCATTTGATTTGTTGTAAACTTACGTACATCATAAGCACAGAAAAAAAGATATGTCTGTTCTGCGAACAACCAAAACTATTGTCTCTTAACATTAGGGGTGACTTGGGAACCGTTGACTTTGGCCTGCATATCCAAACAAGCATTTAACAATTGTATAATATAATCTACATATTACATTTTAAATTTCGACATTTTTTGACTAAAACATTAATATTCAAGTGAAAATAACCTTAACTATCTTCCATGAAGCCAAAGTCATGTCCGTAATGACCAGTGGTTTACATTCACATTAAGTGGGATCATAACACAGTAGTAACACACTCACTACCACAAATGTCTGGGGTTCAATTAACCAAATAGACATTAAATTTGAACTGATACTCATCACATTTATACTTTGTCATTTCTTAATAGATTTAAGCATACCAGTGTTTTTCCCTTAGCAAATTAATCAAAACAAAATAGTGAATAAAACCTTGAATATGTCCAATTTTGCAAATTCAAAACAATTGTAAAAAATAATTAATCATTGACAGTGTTAAATTTCGTACATTTGACTTCAAAACAAAATATTGATTTAAATATCCAAAACTATTGTCTCTTAACATTTAACGTACATAAGCTATGTCTGTTCTTCAAAATATCACATAAAACTTTGGCCTGCATATCCATACAAGCATTTAACAATTGTATAATATAATCTACATATTACATTTTAAATTTCGACATTTTTTGACTAAAACATTAATATTCAAGTGAAAATAACCTTAACTATCTTCCATGAAGCCAAAGTCATGTCCGTAATGACCAGTGGTTTACATTCACATTAAGTGGGATCATAACACAGTAGTAACACACTCACTACCACAAATGTCTGGGGTTCAATTAACCAAATAGACATGAAATTTGAACTGATACTCATCACATTTATACTTTGTCATTTCTTAATAGATTTAAGCATATAATTTAGCACAACCAGTGTTTTTCCCTTAGCAAATTAATCAAAATCAAAATAGTGAATAAAACCTTGAATCCGATACCGTTTCCAACTTTCTTCAGTATCCCTAAGGTGTGCAAATTCAAAATCGAAACTTGTAAAAAACAAATATTGAATTTAGAATAGAAGAAGGGACAATAAGCAAAAGAGACGAATCATTAGTAGGATTGTAAAGAAAACAGCAACAGTGCGTAAACTTTGGGCGATATCACAGACAGGACTTAAATATTATAAACGGCAATATACGCTCACCTTCGTATAAACATGTTATTAAAACTTCTTCATACTGCAAATGATGGACACAAGAGCAAAACTATTATTGAACTGTATGCATTCACAATATCATGGAACTCTAATTTATACAGCCTGTTTGGCACTGTTTATTCTATGCCGAATTCTGTACCGTCTGAGTATGTATAGAATCAGTTGGAACCAATTATGACGTTATAGATCTCAGAGCTATTAAACAATTATCAAATGCTATCGTTTAGATCATATTGTGCGGAACTAGATTTATGTATCCTTTGAATGGCGTTATGCAATCGTTAATTAAATCTATGTTAACTACATGTCTTTACTAATTAACATGATAGAGTGTTTGTATAGAATACAATCGTATTCTGCATCCATAACATTGTGGTGGTATATCTTCCTTAATTTAGAACAATTAATCTAATTATTGATTTAAATAACTTTTATTTGTTTGTTTATATGAATCAATTATTCCTTCGCTTATATATTATGTCTATTTCTTTTTCTTGAATCTGAACAAAGAACTTTTACACTATCTTTTCTAATAATTAGTGGTATATTATTTATCGTTTAAGACCAACTAATTATCATCGATTGTATTTGCATTAATTAATCAGAAGACTGGTCAACTTTACAAGTCGCCGAAACATTGACAAATAAAGGTTTGTTTAAGCAGCAAAAAATGTTTTCGGGACAAGGGACCTAAATTCAGAGTATCCAATTATTCTTGACCTACAGGACGTTCTCTCTAACAGCAGTTTTATGATTAGCCACACAAGCTTTTAAGTTATCATTATTTGAAAACGACCAACGTACAATAGATAGTATAATAAAACAAGGATTTATTCAACGTTATATTTAAAGCATAATGGACGTAAGGCTTTTTATCAAATAAAAAGTATAATTCATATATATATTTATATATTGTGCTTTAACAACAGATCGTAGCCATCCTCACTTGTTAAAGATAGGAAAAAACAATCAATGACTTTGACTTTGAAAAACATTGCTTTACTGATTATTGAAATGACGTTTTCAACAACTAGTTATGATATCGTAATAAACCCCAGGCAGTAGGGCGTATCTGTAATTACCACCATAATTCAAGCCGTTTTGTCAAACATTTGGCTTTAAACATCAGCATGCAGATAGCATGAAACCATTACTACAATGACTACACTGGTAACAGTAAATACACGAAGAAATGATTTTTGTTGTAGTCACTTACCGGCGAAATAACGTAACTGTGTGTTAGGGGAAATTTACCCATAGTTTCGTAATCTTAAAGGATTTTCCTGGAGGCAATCTTATTTTATATCGCAGTCCTAAGATGCTTCAGCACAACAAAACATCTTAATACTCTTTATTTATAAGTGTATTTACGTCGTAAATTACTGGAAAAACTGATATCATAACAACTCGAAAAAAGCATGAAATTAAACCAGTTGATATCTAATTATGATAACAATATTCTTTATTTGTTACATATAAACATATTTAATGTATGTACACAGTCAAACGTGGTAGGTATGATAGAGGCGGATATTCATCCTGAAGGTAAAATATCCATTATCTCACATCACTAAATCTATTTCTCCACTTCCTCTTACTCTAATATATGAAGATTTGGAACGGCAATAAACTCGGTAATATACCAACATACCTACATCCGTAAGCTCATCATGACAGGCATGTAAAATATAATTGTCTTTGATCATGAAATGGAAAGAGTTGTTTAAAACAAGGTCAAGGAAGCTTGTCAAGCTGGCAAGCAATGCTGTGACGGCCTTTTGAGTTAACGTCCTCACGTAGCATTGCCATCTCATGGTCATTAGAAAAAAAAGTAACTGATCTGATCTCCTGAAATAGAGATGTTCAACATGGATGTTTCACATTGGATATGTGTCCCACATATAGGGAGGAGGAAGAACAACATTTTCTTTTACCCTGGACAAGCAAAGTTTCCCAGTCTCACCCTTGGGTTGAGACGGGAAACTTCCCTGTCATGATAATAGCACATCTCAACTATAACAATCACTGACGTCACGTCGACAATGTTTGACTGGTGTGATAAAGAAATCTTAACAGAGAATGATTAAGTTTCAATATGTGGGAAGCCACATGTTGGCTCACTTAAAACTCTTTCCTCAAGGCGTGAGATCTCACTTCCAAAAGGGGTTGTCCTGTATTATTATTCTTGATAATGCATCGTTTGCCCTGAGTACGCCGGACGTAAATAAAAAGATAACATTACTTGACGTTAACTCCTTCAAATCATGAAAAATTAAGAATTTATTTTTTATCATATTTACAATATAATGATTTTGTTGCATCCTTTAAACTCCTTTCTAACACAGTGTTTGTTTCATTGACAGGTTGAGATGGTCATTTAAGAACTGCGATAAGGACGCTTTACCATGCCAGTGGTCACCTAGTACGTATTGTTTCATATCAAGGGTATTACTTCTGTCTAGGTTTGTAGTAATAAAGTCCAGTTTCCTTGTATCAGTGTAGTTTAATTAGTGTATACGTAAAGGGGTATGTATGAGGAGTGACAAATATACCTGAGGTAGGGCTTTCGTTTATACTAACAGTTGAGTGATAACATATAGAGGTCAGATGGGTAGACCATACTCAGCTTGCTATTAGATATGATGGACCAAACAAGTGTCACATAAGTTACATAAGGCACCAGCACACAGATGAGCACCGGCACAAGGACCACACACAATTCGCATGGCCTTATCTATGCTGACCTGCGAGCTATTATTTAGATAATTAACTACATGTAACATTAGCTATAAATCAACAACAACCGCTGGCCATGTGTAAACTACCATTTGATCGTCTAACTTATGAGAACCTAGGAACAGTGTATATGCACAAGTAATAACTATACATTCGTATTTCAAACTAAATTTCTTTGCTATAGTAAAGTATAATGGTTAATTTATGAAACCATCGGAGCCAACTATTCCCTTTCCTTAACGCCACAGTGCTATTTGTTTATAACACAGGTCGCATTCACTAAATCTTCACCAAGAACAAGAGATATAAGACACTAAAACAATAACTGGTCTCCAACATTCTTTAATGCTTAAGCTAGGCTTCCGACTCACATCAAGAGAGACTTTATTTAAAAAGACATCCTGTCTTAGTAGCATGTCATCTTTGCTATTTGGTTGTTATTTATACTACACATACAAATTGGTGATTTTCACTGTTTATCATTATCTTCATTAACACAAAACTTCAATATAGGGCGGCGATTGCCCTACGTACAGTTGTAACCTCTGGTACACCGGAACAGTCTAAGCATCCTAAAAAAGCTATTGACTAAATCATATTCTTGCGAAAAGCGCTAAATTGAAATTACTTTAAAATTTGTACGTTTACGGATTCTAGTGCTTATACTTAAAGTCTTCAAATCTATTTAGAAAGATATTCTGCTATAAATAGTATAAAAAGAGAGTGTTTCACAGCCATTGGATATTGCTTCACCAGGATTATTTAACACATTTTGTATAAATTTTCTTTTTATTTCTAGTATCGACAGCCTCCTTGGGCCTATAGGAGCATATGAAGAACCGAGGACAATTCATGACAATAATTATATAGACAGACTCAGTCATCACTACACCATCATGTTGCTTTTCTTCTTCAGGTACGATACAATACTTAATAAAATAAATCCACTCCCTGGCACCAAATCTAAAGATATCACAATCGATGTCTCTTTAAAAAAGAAATAAATTAAAGATTTATTGAATAATGTAGAATACATATAATTATTTTTAACTACTATTTAAATTATTTAGCAAAAATTCGATGCATTCTGGTTAAATGATTTGATTCTATTAGCAATCTATCCCTAACTAGGATACACTTGCACAAGTACAAAATTTCATATATTGATAAACATTGATTTAACAAATAGGATTTTTTCATTATATTGATACGATATAGTTGTTATAAGGTTAAAGCTTGCGGGAGTTTACCAACGCTTGATGCAAAAGATATATTTTCCCCTTGAAGTCATGGAAAAGATTAATATATTCTTTATTATTCTTATCTTCAAGGTATTTATTTTTGCAATTTAATTCCATCCTCGAAACAACCGAAAATAACAACTGTTACTTTTTGTCTATTGTTGAAACTTTCAGTACTTATCTGACGACAGAAGAGTATGTGGGGGATCCAATCCAGTGTTGGTGCCCTGAACATTTCACAGACGAAGAGGTCTACTACACAAATGCCGTATGTTGGGTTAGCAACACCTATTACATACCCTTTACCAACGTCATTCCACCTCAGTATGAGCTCCGAGCAACGTATGAGATCAGCTATTACCAATGGACACCAATTATACTTCTGCTGATGGCACTTACCATGTACCTACCTAGAATGTTCTGGAAATACCACATCAATCGTTGTGGCATCACAATCAAGACAATTCTGGAAATATGCTACAATGCACAGAACAAGAAAAATCCCAAAGAACGTGACGCTGCACTGAAGAATTTAGCAACTTATATTGGGAAGTACTGTTATAGTGTTCATCTGTATAGGGCAGGCCTGTGTCCAAACTTACGGGAAATATTCGCGAAAAAATCATGTATCAAGATAGGGAGGCATCATGGAAATAATATTGTTACCCTTGCCATTTTTGTTAAGTTTCTCTATGCCATTAATGTCTTGCTTCATTTATTCTTTCTCAATGAATTCCTTAGTCACAAATTCTACATATTTGGTTATGAGGCGGTGATCAACTTCCTGGAGGGAGGACAGAAGGAGTTGTCTCCTAGGTTTCCTCGTGTCACTTTATGTGATTTTGACATGCGACAGATTTCAAATGTCCACCGATATACCCTGCAGTGCGTGATACCTGTAAACTACTATAATGAAATGTTCTTTGTTCTCCTGTGGTTCTGGCTTACTATCCTAGCTGTACTTGCATTTGCTAACTTTTCTTTCAGTCTCCTGTCGACGTTTGTGCCAATAAACCAAAAATCGTTCGCTAAGAAATACCTGCTTTTAAAAAACGAAGACGAATATACTGGAAAAAGAGCTTTTCCAAAGTTACTGAATCGATTTTTAAAACGGTACTTAAGAAGAGATGGACTATTCATATTAAAACTTATTTCCAAACATTCAAATACGTTCCTCTTGATAGAACTTGTGCATCATTTATGGAAGGACTTTTTAAATCGGGGAGGACATAAAGGAATAAAAAGAATTTCTACTTTAAAGAAGACTGTTAAGTTACGAAAACCGGACTTAGACGAAACAGTGCCTCTCCTAGTAAAAAATGGAGTGTTGGCAAGCATTTTAGAAAATCCCGTGCAAGCAAAACCGGAGAAGAGGGTCAGGTTAGATGTACCTGATGATAACAAACTACCCGAGTCGTACAAAAGAAAGTCTTATTGAAGAGAATTAAAACTCGTAACGGAAGATACATAGATATCATGTTAAAATTGGGAAGAACAAAATTACCTCACCTTTTGTAAGTTTTTTCTTTTTAAATTGACAATTACATTGGCATTTCTTTAACATCAAGGTGACGATGACATTATGAAACAAATGTCCAGTTATACATAATTCATGATCAGTGAGTGAGTAAATGAGACAGTCAGTTAGTAAGTCGTTCAGCGAGTGAGTCCGTGAGTCAGTGAGTTAATAAGTGAATCAGTCAGTCAGTGAGTCCGTGAGTCAGTGAGCAAGTGCGTCAGTCATTCAGTAAGTCAGCGAGTGAGTTTGTGAGTTAGTGAGTCAGTCAGTCAGTCAGTCAGCAGGTGAGTCCGTGTGTCAGTGAGTTAGTGATTAAGTGAGTGAGTCGGTCAGTCAGTCAGTCAGCGAGTGAGTCAGTGAGTGGTCCAGTGAGTCAGTGAGTGAAATAGTGATAACTAGTAAAAAGATATATTGTGATTTTGGTTATAGAATAGATTTTCATGCCACTGTTGACAGCATAAGATATTCTGTTACCAACAAGATTTGATTTTCCTCTCCATTATGTTTGGTCAATCAAATATTACCTGTGATGCCGATGAAATATTCTGTCCGTATATCATGCTTTTATTCTTATTGATAATATGTTGTATGTAATGTATACTTTCATATTTCACATATAAGAATTACTATCAGCAAGAATTTAACATATGTTACATTCATTGATGAAATCCAGCATTAACCTTACAACATAATGCAAAATTATGACATATAATAAAGAACATGTTAACTGTTGTAGTAGTTGTTGTGGTTCGACATGACATACAATAAAGGATATATGTTGTAGTAGTTGTTATGATCCGACATGACATACAATAAAGGATATATGTTGTAGTAGTTGTTATGGTCCGACATGACGTACAATAAAGGATATATGTTGTAGTAGTTGTCATGATCCGACATCACATACAATAAAGGATATATGTTGTAGTAGTTGAAAGGTCCGACATGACGTACATAAAGGATTTATGTTGTAGTAGTTGTTATGGTCCGACATGACGTACAATAAAGGATATATGTTGTAGTAGTTGTTATGGTCCGACATGACGTACAATAAAGGATACATGTTGTAGTAGTTGTTATGGTCCGACATGACGTACATAAAGGATATATGTTGTAGTAGTTGTTATGGTCCGACATGACGTACAATAAAGGATACATGTTGTAGTAGTTGTTATGGTCCGACATGACGTACAATAAAGGATATATGTTGTAGTAGTTGTTATGGTCCGACATGACGTACAATAAAGGATATATGTTGTAGTAGTTATGGTTCGACATGACGTACATAAAGGATATATGTTGTAGTAGTTGTTATGGTGCGACATGACGTACAATAAAGGATATATGTTGCAGTTGTTGTGGTCCGACATGACGTACATAAAGGATATATGTTGCAGTTGTTGTGGTCCGACATGACGTACAATAAAGGATATGTGTTGCAGTTGTTGTGGTCTGACATGACTTACAATAAAGGATATCTGTTGTAGTAGTTGAAAGGTCCGACATGACTTACAATAAAGGATATATGTTGTAGTATTTGTTAGTTTTACGTCATTAAAGTTATACATCATCTTGGATTCCGCACAAATATGTGTAGCAGGCGGCAGATGCTTCGCTGCCTGCTCGTGAAGACAGTTGCAAACATCCCATGTTAATGTGTACACTTAAGTGATAGAACTTGTGTTGCTGGCAGATGGTTTATCCATGTATAAATCGTTTACCAGGTTTGAATATTGCTTTATCTTGTACAATACGTGTAGCTCACGAAATTTGCAATGCTTTTTTCAAAACTTCCTAAATTACTATTCCTGGCTTTTCATAGAGGATGTTTACTTACAAGATACGTGAAAGGTTATGGGCGACATTATCAGCATCAAAAGAGGCTTAAAGTCTCATATCAGCAGGTAAACATGTTATCGTAAACAAGTAAAGATACGAAACTAAACATAGAATCAGTGTATGAACAGGAATGGTAGATCCAAAGAGCGAAGTATTGACAATGGTTAAAACATTGAAACCTCACCGGTAGATATAAAAACTTAAACAGTAGATTTAGAACAATTATCAGTAGCTGACTGTTTACAGTAACAATGTGTAACATTAACCATTTAATTCTTAAACATCAACAGTAGCTGTTTACAGTAACAATGTGTAACATTAACCATTTAATTCTTAAACATCAACAGTAGCTGTTTACAGTAACAATGTGTAACATTAACCATTTAATTCTTAAACATCAACAGTAGCTGTTTACAGTAACAATGTGTAACATTAACCATTTAATTCTTAAACATCAACAGTAGCTGTTTACAGTAACAATGTGTAACATTAACCATTTAATTCTTAAACATCAACAGTAGCTGTTTACAGTAACAATGTGTAACATTAACCATTTAATTCTTAAACATCAACAGTAGCTGTTTACAGTAACAATGTGTAACATTAACCATTTAATTCTTAAACATCAACAGTAGCTGTTTACAGTAACAATGTGTAACATTAACCATTTAATTCTTAAACATCAACAGTAGCTGTTTACAGTAACAATGTGTAACATTAACCATTTAATTCTTAAACATCAACAGTAGCTGTTTACAGTAACAATGTGTAACATTAACCATTTAATTCTTAAACATCAACAGTAGCTGTTTACAGTAACAATGTGTAACATTAACCATTTAATTCTTAAACATCAACAGTAGCTGTTTACAGTAACAATGTGTAACATTAACCATTTAATTCTTAAACATAATACAGTAACAATGTGTAACATTAACCATTTAATTCTTAAACATCAACAGTAGCTGTTTACAGTAACAATGTGTAACATTAACCATTTAATTCTTAAACATCAACAGTAGCTGTTTACAGTAACAATGTGTAACATTAACCATTTAATTCTTAAACATCAACAGTAGCTGTTTACAGTAACAATGTGTAACATTAACCATTTAATTCTTAAACATCAACAGTAGCTGTTTACAGTAACAATGTGTAACATTAACCATTTAATTCTTAAACATCAACAGTAGCTGTTTACAGTAACAATGTGTAACATTAACCATTTAATTCTTAAACATCAACAGTAGCTGTTTACAGTAACAATGTGTAACATTAACCATTTAATTCTTAAACATTAACAGTAGCTAACTGTTTACAGTTACAATGTGTAAACCTGGCGTAGATAAATGCACTAACCCAAACCTTGACCGTAGATAAATAAATAAACTAAACATAGTATATTTCTGTTTGTGAGCATGGGCTGTACATAAAACATATAATATAAAGATGTGTTTAATTAGCAAACAAAGTTATAAGCCATAGCGTCATTGCCGAGTCGACGAAAGACGAAACAATGTTATTAGACCGTTTTATGACTATGCTGTTACACCAAGGAATATCTGAATATTGACATGAATGGTACGGAACATCTCCTGTTATTTAGCAATACCACTGTGCATCTATAAATAGTACGTCCTCAACCTGAAAACGTCCTTCATTGGTTATTGTTTGGCATGAATTAGATCATTTGTGTAATGAACTTCTTTTTAATTCTTAAACTTACATCACTGGAAGCGTTTGTTAAGGATTCTAAAGATAAATGAACCGTTTTTCCAAATGACATTGGTTGAATTGTATGTATCTGATACATTGTTGGCACAACAACAGTCACCCTTGTCAACTAGAGCATGATGCAGGCGTTAGAAAGTACTGAGAACGAAATGATTTGTTCGTAAATGTTTGCCTATTTACTAATTGGTTAAATTTTATTTCACATATGATCTCATTTGAACTCAAGTGTCATAACAGCATGTATTGATAGGACGTCTGACTGGGCGGTCCATTCTTATTTTTATTCTCTCCATGATGTCGTCGGTCAAATTCGTTCCCATAAGCGAGGGATTCGCAAACAAGTTTAACGCAATTACACAGCTAGACAATTGTTATAAACAGACGGTTTCTTTGAGAGATTGAGACTCGCCCTACAATAACCAAACAAAAGGTCAGATTTCAACCTACATGTACAATTATATTTAGGCATCTTAGAATTATGGCGATTTGTACATTAGAGATATCGACTAACAAGCTGGCAACATACATCAATGGTATGACGACAATTGCTAATGAGAGAAGGCCTGGAAAATGGTACCAGCTTCCTGTACTAATTACAGACAGAATTATAAATCACACGTTTATCTCATCGTCAGCTACAAGTTATATAACCCACTCATATTGGCTGTGAGACGTAGTTTTGTTGAAGTATAACAAATGAAAGTTTAAGGCATAATTTCTCATTCGTTATACTGATCATAATGAATTAAATAACCGGTTTCAATATTCCTCTCGGACGCTTTGTTCAGATGAAGAAATGAGTGTTCTGCATAATGTTGACGTCAATGTTTGCCACACTATGTACTTTAAAAGCGTTTTCGCGAAGAGTCTCGAATTTTATGACTGCGGTCATGTCTACTTCACCACGCTATAATCCATTCGGTGATCCGTGATATATTCCCGTAAAAATTTACAGAAGTACAATTACGGAAATCACTTAGTTTACAGAATGCTCATCAATCTAAGTCAAAAAGAGAAAAACAAAATCAAACGAATAAAAAATTTGAAAGAATTACAAACAAAAAACATGGCGTAGATATCGTAAGATATTTTTCCATTTTGTTAGATGAAATTCTAATTAGATGATAATACGTTAACATACTTATAGACCTCACAACGCTGCTTATACTGAAAATTAGCATTTTCAAAGCATTAAATCTATGATATCCCTCATCCTTGATACTCTATGGGTTACAGTCACTTTCGCTCTCTGCACCCCTGGAACATTTTCGGCAAAATCGAAGGCTCAAGCAAAGCAATTTGCGTGGTTCCAGGAGAAAAAATCCCTATTCAGTCACAGGTTGATA